GTCACAGCCAGGAACTGAAAAGATATGAATCCAGACCTGGGACAGGTAGTGGTGGTTCTCAAGCGGAGGCCCCTGAGAAGGGCTGGGTAAAGGAGGCACCTTAGCCCACACCAGGGAGTAGGTTCCCTGGCAGACTCCACTTTGTGACAAACATGGCAGAAGGTGGCTTGGGTGGGGTTGCCTGTTGCCAGGTGGGTTGTCCTGGCAACTTTAGGGGCTGGCACCAGGAAGATAACAGTGAGGGCGAAGGTGCCAGTGGAGGTATTCCCCTGGCACGGGAGGCTGGGGGACTCTTCAGGCGTGTAACCAAGTGTGGACCCAGCCAGGCCAGATGATGGCCCCAGCTTCCAGTGCCTGGGTAACACCTCCACTGCCAACTTCACCCTGCTGCCACCTTCTCCTCAACTTCATGTCCTGTCCGCCCAGCTCTGCCCACAGTCCAGGCCAGCCCACACTGACTCACCCTTCCCCATGCTGGTTGGCTGGACATGCAGGACTTGTTCTGTGTAGAATAACCAGTTTACCAGTTGCCTTTGCATCAGCCCCCACTCTTGGTGACCCCGGATGCGTCAGTAGAAGTGTGCTCCACCGGGTTTTCACGGGCTGATTTTTCAGACGTAGATCACTAGGCCTTTCTTCTGAAGTGCTGCTAGGTGGACTTGAACCTCCAGCCTTTTGTTGAGCAGCCAAGGGTGTTAACTGTGGTTAAAAAAAAAAATACATGTAGCATAAAATTTTTCCATTTGAGTTATTTTAAAGTGTGGGATTCAGAGGCCTGTAGTGGTGTTCATAAAGTTGTACAACCATTACCATTGTCTAATCCTGGTAGAACTTAGTTTTTCATGGCCCCAAAGGAAAACCTTGCACCCCTATTAGCCACTCCCACCCCTTAGCAACCCTGGCCTGTTTTCTCTGGATTTCCTTGTTTGGACTTTGGTGTGAATGGATTCGTAGCGTCTGGTCGTGCGTCTCTTTCATTCAGCATGATGCTTTCAAGGATCATTCATTCATGGATCAGAACTTCATTCCATTTCATGGCTGAATGCTACTCCATTGGGTGGATGAGCCAAATGTGTTTGTATTCATGTTTCTATTAACAGACACGTGGGTTGTTTCTACCTGTTGGCCATTGGGACTAGTGTTTCTCGTGTTTCCTGTGGATTCGCTCACCTGGTAAAGCTCTTCAAACCCACACGAAGTTGGCCTCCCTGCAGCCCTCTCCGTGGCAATTATTATGTTCATTGTATGAAGTTGCTAACTGTTGGCTCTCCTAAAACTGAACCCTCCTCAGCCTCATCCATCCTTAGCATGGCCCTCCAGACTGTATTTGATTGTTTTACCATAAACAGGATTGCTGTTTAGCGTAAATATTACTGTTTAGTGTGAACAGTGTTGTCTGTGTGTGGTGGTCAAATAAACAGCTCCGTAACTCCCGAGGGGGAGAGAGAAACCCCATCAGCATCAGTCCAGGGCTGATTCCCCTGAGGGGGCCCAGACGTGCCTTCTCTCTCTAACCTTTTTACCACTTCTAACACCAGCTGTCTCTACTATGACTTTCTCTTCTCTCCTGGGTTCATTAATTCAGTATAGCAGCCACGCAGAACTCAGACCATACTCACAGGTACGGAGTTTATTAGGGAAACAGCTGGTTGCAGTTCAGGATCACGGATGCTCCACATGCAATTCTTGCATCAGCATAGTCTTCAGCCAGGGCCGCAGGCAGGCTGGCCTCTCTTGGCCTCTCTGACCTCTAGGGCTAGCCTGCCTTTGCGCCCTACATGGGTGAGAGTTACAGAGTTGGTTAGCTCTACCAGTAAGTGCCCAGAGGCACCTTGTTCAGCTAGGAAGCCTCCTCCTGAAGGCGCTCACTCAGCTCTCTGCCACCTCCCGTTTCTGTTCTTGTCTGGTACCACTAATGCCCTGTCGTCTGCTGTTGGCAGCTCTGTCTCCTGGCACTTCTAAAGGAAGCTCTCAGCTCCATCTCCTCTTGGTAGGGAGGCCCCTCCCCCACGTCGGCCCATCTCTGGAATGGCTAGCAAGTTGGCAAACTTGACGGGTCTTTTTGTTAGAATTCTGTGTGCCTTACTTGCATGGTCCCATCCCGACATGGTCTACGGCCAACTACCCTGAATGCATCTGATCTCGGAAACTAAGCAGGGTCGGGTTGGTTACTACTTGGATGGGAGACCGCCTGGGAATACCTGGTGCTGTAGGCTTTTAGGAGTCCTGGTGTGGCTCTGTGCAGGGTCAATGGTTCAAGCTTACCAGCTGCTCCTTGGAAGCCCTATACAGGGTCACTGTGAATTGGAACTGACTCCACTGCACTTAACAACACCCCCACAAGAGTGCCATGCACCCTGTTTACGTTATTAATGTACTGTCTAATCCTCTTGGGCTGCAAGCACCTTGTTTGCATAGTCCCACCCAGTCACTTGGTGGGTGTTACAAAAACTAGGGCGGTACACAAGTGGGGAGAGACGTGGTCGATGGGAAAACAGCGGACACTTGGAGCATTTGTGGTTCCTCACTGTCTGAGAAAGGCAGCAAGCGGCCTGCCTTTGGGCACGGGCCCTGCATTTTGTGAGTCCTGAGCTGGGGCCCGGTGTGGAAGAAGGGATTGAGTTCTCAGGGGCTAGTTTATCGCCAAATTACTGTAAAGTTGCCCTGTGTCTGCCCTGTCAAGCATGGGACAGTGGGAAGGGATGTTTTACTTTTTCTTATGAATTGGGGTGGGGATACTAGGTCCTGCCCTACAGGTGTGACAGGTGTGGACGGGGAGGGTGGCTCCCTCTGTGTAACTGGGGCAGTGGATCCACGCTGATGGCAGTACCTTCTTCCCTGACCAGGTCACTGTCTGATACCCCGGGCCCCTCAGGAGTTGGCCTCAATCCCGTGAGGCCCAATGGTCCAGGGCTGCCCAGCGGCTGGTCAGCAGACACATGCTGGACACCTGACCCATGTGCCCAGCCTCAGCATCTCTACCTGCATGGTGGTGTGAAGGGTTCATCCTGACCCTGGGGCTGTGGGGCTGCTGGTTTCCATCACAGTCTGCAAGGAAGGGCTCACTCAGGATCTCCAGCCGCAGGAGCTTGAGTCTGTCATGTGACTCGTCCCAGCTCAGCGTATCCACTTGTATAATGATGTGGAGGCCCACTGGACTAGGAAGCTGTGATGGGTAATGAGGTTACTGCCCAGCAAGGGCAGCCGCTGGCCAGCGTGCCAGCTCAGGGTTGATTCCTCTGTACCTCCCTCGCCGCTGCCACCAGCATCATTGTTACAAGATTATTCATTCAGCATGATTTTACCCTTCAGTTTTATTTTGTGCAATGTTAGTTTTAAAGGCAAAAATCAACAACTGTTGAATGTCTTTCTGTGCTTTGGATGACAGTACATAGCAAATTGGTTTCCCGATCAATAGTTCACACAAAGATTGTTCAGTAACATTGATTGTAATCCCTGCAATGTGCCAATCACACCATTTCCGTTTGTCCTGTTCCCGTCTTACCTTGAGTTTTGGGCAGATGTTGCCCTGTTGGTCTCGTGTAGTTGACTGCCCTGAGGAAGTTATTATAAGTTTTCATTTGCTAATTTTGTTCGTCCTTCTGCATGCTGGGATCTTAGCTGTGGGAGGAGAAAGGAAAATTGCATGACACCTGGGTGGTTTACTGGGGAGACAGACTGCAGGTGTGGTCAGTGCGTTGTACTTGGTTATCACCTGGGAAGGTGAGCAGGGCAGGAGGGGCTAGACCAGACCAGCTTCCCAGAGGTGCGACCCCTGTGGCACCCGGAACCACCCAGAAGAACCCTGTTTGGTTTGCGGTTCTGAGATTCTCAATTTTAAAAAATTGTTTTGTTGTTGAGAATATCCACAGGGAAAACATAGGCCGATTCCAGTGTCTACACGTGCAATTCAGTGACGCTGACGGCGTTCTTTGAGTTGTGCAATCTTTGTCTCTTTCTAGCGGCTCCTCCTCCGTTGACTTGAGCTCCCTGTCCCCTAAGGTTCCTGCCTCACCTTTCCCATTGCTGTTGTCAGTGTGATCTTATATATCGATACAGATAGTTCTGGAAAGAGCACAGAGGAGGCAGAGATTTTTACGAAGTGTCTTAGGCTGGGTGTTCTTAGAGCGAGAGAGAGAGGTTTATTATCAAGGCGCTGGCTAACAACCACCAGGCCCCCAAGTGAAGAGAGCAAGTCTTTCTTGTGTGTCCATTTTATTGGGAACAGGTCACATGCCCAGGGAAACGTCCTTTCGGTTGATTGACACCCATTCATCAGCATTAACTAGGCCTATATGAGGCTTCGTCACCATGGAAAGAAGTATGTTCCAAGTGCTAACCCTCTGGAAATCCTAGCCTAGCAAGTTGACGCAGAAGGCTAACTATTATCCAAATTAAATGGAATTAATTATGCTATCATTTTAAGAAGACTTCCGGGGGTATGTTTGGTTTAAGGTGTAAAGATTATCCAAGCATAATAGTTGAGTGAGTTCACCCAGCCTCCGTGGCTCCTGAGAACTGAATTCCATGAGAATGTGAAATTCTGTTCGGCATCTCTCTCTCTTCGTCAAAGTTTTGTAAAATCTTCGATGGAATGTTCAGTAATGGTAGCCAGGCACCACCCACTTCTTCTGGTCTCGTGGCGGAGGAGTGAAATGCTCAATGGTTTTTAAAGCAAGGGTCCCACACTTTCATTTTGATCTGTACCCCCAAATCATGTAGCTAGTCCTGTGGGGGATGGATGGAGTGTGGGACATAGGGCTGAAATGGGTGTGCTGGCATTTGAGTTCAGACTTGGTGGAGAGAGCCAGGGGGAGCTGTGAAAGAATGCGTCCGGTAGAGCAGCCAGTGCAAAGGCCCTGGGGCAGGAGTGTGGCTGGGTTTTCAGGGAGCCACAATTATTATTGTTGTTACAGCTACACCTGGGGTGCAGGGGGAGGTTTCTCTGCTCTACTCCAACCTTGCTCACCTGCCTCGATCCCCCTCTGCTTACCCCACAGGCTGACACCACATTACGTCTACCCGCCCACCATCCTCCAGCCCAGCGTGGTGGTCCCAGCCACCCCCATCCCCACGCTGTCCTCACCTTACATTGAGTACACACCGGCCAGCCCCGCCTACAGCCAGTACCCATCGGCCACCTATGATCAGTACCCATATGCGGCCTCGCCTGTCACCGCTGCCAGCTTCGTGGGTTACAGCTACCCGGCCACTGTGCCTCCGGCCCTCTCAGCAGCAGCTCCCGCGGGCACCACCTTTCTGCAGTACCAGCCGCAGCTGCAGCCCGACAGGTTGCAGTGAAGGCTTGAAGGGACACCAGGCACGTCTTGAGGAGTGAGGCAGACAGTTAGCCTCATATCCAGGTGTAGCCTGGCTCCTGTGTCCCCCAGGACCCTGGGGAGCCCCACCTGCTCGCCAGGCATCAAAAGAGACTTCTTCCAGCTCCAGGACCCATTTGGTCTCAAGGGAGAACTTCAGAAAAGAAAGACTGAAGGTATTTAATGATGCAACCCAGAATCCCTTACACAAACAGCAGCAGCCTCTCTCCCAACTCTCACCCCGCCTCCCCACTCTGGCACCCACAGCATCCCCACCATGTCCTTCACAAAGCCACCAAGCCTTCCCTAGACCCACACCTAGAGGTGCCTTAAAGAGAAGCTGTTGATGATGTATTGTTACCACACAAGCTGTGAGTTAGAGCCCAAGTCATCTGGGGATGCATTGAATCCTTGTTTTCTGTACTATTGTCCAGGACAGCTTCCCTGAGTCCTTGGACCACCCAGGTGCCCTTGGGCTGCCAGTTTCAGGGGCTTCAGCCCCTTTTAGTCGAAGCACTGCAACTTTTTTGTTACCGTAATTTTGTTGTTAAGACGATTTCAAGTTTTCATTGTTTTCTAAAATGGAGACTCCTGCCACCAAGGATCCCAAAGCTATTTTCAATATTGAGAGATTCGCATTGGTTGCTGGCCCTGCCTGAAAACACAGTGACCAGATTTCTAAGTGACAGGGTATCTGCTGGTGAAGAGCTGGAGGTGTCCTCCTCCCCCCCACCCCCCATGTGGTTGGCATTGCCCGGGTTCCTGTGCGTTCCAGATGTGGAGTGCAGCTATGTGGCACCACATACCTACCCCGTGGGTGGTCACTGACTCAGGGCCATTGTGGTGCCCGTCCCCTGCTGCCTGCTTCTACTGTGTGGAGGAGCAGAAGGAAGTGGGTCCCTTCCTGAATGCTGGCTGAGGGCCTAGACCAGGTCATCACCTGGCAGCAGGGTGAAGGTACTCAACCGTGCCTCTGAGCTCCAAGTTGTATGATTCCATCCTCTCCCTCTTCATGGGGTCCTGCACCCAGAGCTGCGGTGGAGCCCGAGACGGGACCCTGCCTTCGGGATGCAGTTGGGTGGGCAGACTAGAAGTTCTAACAGAAGAATGCGACTCAGTTCGGGGGTGCTTGGGGGCTGTGGGTGGCCTTACCCTGCCCTGCAGGTGAGGAGGACAGGGATCCTGGCAGTTGAGGCAGCTCCCCCACAGGCAGGGCCGACAGGTGGGGGTAGCTGGGAGTGTTCCTTCTGACCTACCTCAAGCGGGAAGGCAGCCTCAGGGAGCTAATGTGTGCGACATGCTTTATGCCGCCCCGTCCAGAGTCCCAGAAAATGAAGGTAGCTAATAAATATTTTTACTAGAACGTTCTGATGATAAAAATAAAACTTGTTTCCTTAAGAAAAAGTGGGTCTGTAAATTTTCTGTCTTAGTGGAGCCTTTACTGCCCCCCTTCTGTGGTGACAGGGTTGACCCCCTCCTCTCAATTTTGGTGTATTCTCCTGATACCTCCCAGCTTGGGAGTTGGGGCTTCTAACCACCAGTGTTCACTGAGCAGCTACTGTGTGCAGCCCCTCTGGACTTGCAGAAGTGGGGAGGAGCCTGCACCTCACCTCCCTGGCTGCCAGGCCTGGGCCGGTGTAGCGTCGCCCTTGAAGTGGGGGCCCACTACGTGCCAGACTCAGCTGCTCACTGAGAGTGGCCGTCTGTCATCTTAGTGATGCTCACGTGGAGGGTCAGTGGGGTTGCTGGTCTAGACTGGCCCAGCTCCCTAGGACAAGGTGAGGCTGTGGGAACTGGTAAGTGTCTGGTGGCTGCCCCAACCCCTGGGACAGCTGGACCTGGGGGTGCTCTCCCTGCACGCTAGTGAACCTCCAGAAGCCTCCCCCCAGCCTTTTCGTCAGTGGGTCAGGCCTAGAAAGGGGTGGGATTCCTGGCCATGTCGAAACTCCCAGGCTCGGCTCTTCTGTCTTGGGCTTCCCCTCCCCACAGGTCCTGCCCTGTACTGGTTCTGAGCTTGCAAACACTAGGACAGGCCCCGAGGCAGCGGGGGCTCCAGGCTCGGGAGAAGACATTGCGGGAGCTGATAAGGGCCAGGCTGGGAGGGACCTGTGGGCCCCTGGTTATCGGGCAGGCCATTTGGGCCAGAGCATTTCCTGTCACTAAAAACATCCCAGGTCCCCAAGTTGAGGGTGTTGTACCGCAGGGAGCTGGAGAGATTCCCAGGCTCTCTCCCCCACCCGCCTCCATGAACAGGCTGGAGTGAGGGCTGCTGGCTGGTTCTGCATCAACGTCGCAAGGACAGTGCTGAATGGCCACAGTGACCGCCCTGCCAACACCTGGCACCCATCTGAGAGATGCTGTGCTGCTCCAGTAATTGAACAAAGTCCAGAACTGACCCCACTTAGCAACTGACATGGAAACACCAAAGAGGCCTGGCCCAGCTGGGGAGTCTGGCAACCCCTACCTCCTGCACCGCAACTGTGAAGGGTCATGCTTACCATCCCGGGCCAGGGATTTTCTCTCCCTTCTCCTCTATGTCCCTACCAGCCACCACAGACCTGGCACCAACCAGGTTGTGCACTGAGCAAGGGGCCTAGGGGTGAGGCACACTGCCTCGGAACTCCTGCCTGTCTGGGTCCCACATACACCTAGGGGGACACCCATATGCACATGTCTGCTTTAACACACTGAGACACTAACATACACATAGACGTTTATATATATATATATATATATATATACACACACACACTAGCACACCCAGAGGGACATGCACACATCTGTGCATATATATTAACACACACAAAGGACACACAGACATTTGTGTGTGTATATATATATATATATATACACACACACACACACACAAGGAGCTCTGGTTGTGTAGTGGTTACGAATCGGGCTGCAAAGCGCAAGGTCAGCCGTTTGAAACTACCAGCTGTTCCACGGGAGAAAGATGAGGCTTTCTGCTCTCATAAAGATTTACAGCCTCGGAAACCCTGTACAGGGTCGCTATGGGTCGGAACCGACTCAGTGTACAACAACAATGTACACACACACACACATTAACACACCCAGAGGGACAGGCACAGATGCAAATATACAGATATACACTTGTTAACACCAAGAAAACCCCAATTGCTGCCAGCTTGGTTAGGCCTCATAATGACCCCGTAGGCCAAGCAGAGCTGCCCCATGGGATTTCCAAAGCTGCCATCTGTGGGAGCACACTGCCAGGTTTTTACTCCTGTGGAGCCGTTGGTGGACTTGAACCGCTGACCTTTTGATTAGCAGATGAGCGCTGAGTCACCAGGTATCCCTTCATACAGACACATACAGAGAAACACATGCACACACAGACACTCATTAATACATACCTCAGGACACACCCGTGTGTCTGTGTGCATATACAGAGACAGAAACACACTTCCTCACACACATAAGGTAAACACGTGCATACAGACAAGTGGAGAGACACCCTCACACACACATGCAAAGGTGATGTGTAGATCACACACGATGTACGTACACACAGACGAGACTGCGTATGACACACACAGGCGTGCGTATTAACACACAAGGCACAGATGGTTCTGTGATGAGTTGAGGGACTCATTGTTTCAGGAGCAGCTAGAAGTTGGTAAGCTTGGAGCTGCCAAGGGGACAGCCTGAGAATTAATCCAACACGAAAGAGGACTGAAGAAGGCAGAGCGAGAGCCCTGTGACCTTTTGGGGCCTCTTGATGGAGCTCTGCCCGCAGTTGGGACCTGGATCTTGCTGTTGTAAAAGCTTATTCCCTCTTTTGCTTCAGTCTCTTAAGATTTGTTTTTCTGTTCCTTGGAACCCATGAGTCGTCTTAATCTCAAAGGGCCTGCATTACTTAAGATTAGGTTCTGTGACAAAATAGAAACCAAGAACAGGACTGGTTCTTACCTGTTGTTACAAGTTTGTTTTTTATGTCTTATGTAAAAGAAGTTTGAAGAGGTGGTCCAGGGCTTGGACAAGATCTCTAACAGTGGACAGGAGCTCAAGCTCCCTTCTGTTTTCCAACTGCACCATTTTAATGCATAGCTTCCTTAAGAGCCCTTATGGGCCAGAATGGCTGCAGGAGCTCCAGCCATTGTGTCTGAGTTTCAGACAGCACAAGGAAGGAAAAGACTAAAGGAATACCTTAAGCTGAGTCATCCCAGGGAGCTTTGGAAGTTGCACCCAACATTCTTCTCCCATCTTCTGGCCAGTACTTAGTCACACAGCTGTAGTGCAAGAGAGGGTGGAGAATGCAGATGTTTACCTGGGACACAGAAAGCATTCTGTTGTAGACTGCTAGCAGTGTCTGCCCCAGGCCCTTCAGTGACCATGCTTTGAGCCCAGGGTAACAAACCCCCATTCCCAGGGGCTTTATGAAGACTGTTACTGACTCAGCTGCATATATCTCTAGGGGCCATCATTATACCCAATTTACAGATGGGAAATCAAGGCTCAGAGGCCTCGCCTGATTTGCCTGAGGTTCCCTGGCTCCCTAGAGGCCATCCTGTGGCCATTGTTCAAGCTCTTGCCTCACTGATGGGTTGGGGATTTGATCAACCAGAAGCCTGGGACGGGCAGCTCCTATGTGCCTCCTAAGTGCTCAGTCTTGGATGGGAATTTCCAAGAGGAAGTACTGTTGGAGTGTCCTCCCTTGCCACACACCGGTGTACTGATCGCCCCATTTTATGGAGGGGAAACACGCTCAGATGGGTGAGGGGTTATGGTAGGGAAGTAGTCCAGGTTTGTTTGACACCAAAGCCTGTCTCCTTGGCCTTTGCTACCTGTCCTCCGAATGCTCTGGGCAGGGCTTAGCTGCCCCTGCCCATCCCATGCTCCCTTCTACTCTTGCCTGGCCTGCAGACAGGAGCCAACATGGCAAAGTGGGAAAGGGCCGGAAGTTCTGCAGCTTTCTTGTCGCTGCCTGTCCTTGGGCAATAGACTCAAGATCCCCAAGTC